TTCTCATTGTTGCTTTCATCTATATGAACAGAGCTTGGATCCTTCAGGTATATAGATCACCCTCAAATCACAGCACCAATAATGTGTGATTTATACACCTCAGTCATAATCCCAAACATTATTACTCTGGGATATCCCTTGGTAAGGTATAAGCTGGGAGCTGGGATTTAGTCTTGTGTCTGCTTCATTAAGAGAAAAATAAATATGAAAGAGAAAAGACCAAATCTTTTTTCTTTTAAAACTACCACCTTTAACTACAAATATATATTAAAATACACAGCATATTTCAGATAACTGGTTATAAAAGGATAAAAGATGATCTTCCCCTTCCCCTCCCCCCAAAAAATCAAAGGAATGAGAAATAAACAAACCCCTTTCCTATGTCATTTTGAAGATAGGACACACACGTTTAAAAAGAGCTAATATGGCTGGGAGTGGTGGCTCATGTCTGTAATCCTACCACTCTGAGGCAGGTGGATTGCTTGAGCTCAGGAGTTTAAGACCCATCTGGGCAAAAGTGAGACCCCATCTCTAAATAAAAAAAAAATAAACCAGCCAGACATGGGGCACCTGTAATCCCAGCTTCTCAGAGGCAAGAAGATCCCTTGAGCTCAAGAGTTTGAAGTTGCTATGAGCTATGATGATCCAGGGCAAGAGACTCCGCCTCAAAAATAAATAAATAAATAAGAAGAATAGAAGACAGGGTTGTAAGGTAAGAACAAAATGGAGGCAGCTCTTGTGGTTAGAGCAGGGAGGTCTAATGAGAAGAAGAAACTACATGAGCCTTCCTGGGAGGGAGGGTGGAGTTTGGCTGGACCAGCAATGAAAAGCCAGAACACCCCAGGAGGGTCTTCCAATGCACCAAAGCTCAACAATGCTCATTCAAAGTTCTTTGAATGTGTCTTGAAGGCAGAGTGTAAATCAACCAGGCAATAGTACAGGATGCTAGTGGGGAAAAGATAGATTTGGAAAATTGGGGAACGGTCACATGGTGGATGGAATTGCATATCTGACTTAAAAGTCTTGATTTTAACCTACAGTGCAGAATTTTCAACCTCATGCTCAGGTTTGGCTCTCATTTGATCCACTGTGTGACCTTAGACCCGTCACTTTTCTTTCCTCCCTTTTCCTCTTCCTTTTTTCTTCTTTCGGTTTTTGAAAAAAAGCTTCCCTTTTTAACTTTTCGTTATGAAAGACATTAAAAGGCACACCATGGAAGTAGAGAGAACTGGGCGATGCATCTCCACGAACTCATCACTCCCCTTCCACAACCATCAGTCTCTTGTTTCATCTGCGTCCTCCCTGCTTGCTTCTCACAATCCTCCTTGCCTATTGCATTAGGCCTAATAGGATTAGGTATCTGGGCAAAGCCTGTGTGTGACACCGGTGCAGGAGTCCCTGCTGGTGGGGGGAGCTAGAACAGGCTGCCTGGAGAGGACCTACATGCGCGCATTATTGACAGCAGGATTGCCCTTAGAAAAAGTGGAGTCCCAACCTGGGTCTCATGCTTTGAAGGGCTGCTGGCCACCATTCCTACAGGGAAAGTTGTTCTCAGTGAAAGGTAATCACCTATATAGAGCCTATGCCTCCCTCAACAGGTACTGGTACTGGAAACTCAGGAATTCCCTGCCCAAACAGCTCCAGGCCAGTTTCAGGGCAGCTCTGGCCCCTGTTCGTATACCACTAGATCCCACAAGCAGGCACCGGGGCTGACGAAAAGAGGGATGTGGGCAGAGCTTGGGCCTGCCGGCTGAGTCACACGTGAGGCCCCCTGAAATATTAAAAGTGAGAATAGAGGAGAAGAAAAGATCCCCCCTGTTCCAGCAGAACAAGAGCTCCAAATGGAGCTCCACTCTCGCCCAACAACCCCCAAGCATTAAGAAAAGGCCTTGAAAGTAAGAGGCAACTACACTTTTTATTAATATCCTTCAATTTAAATTTATCCTATTCATACCCTTGGTCAAATCTGCACATAGAATTGCTAAAGAGCCACCAGATAAGCACTGTTTGAATCCTGGCAGACAGAACAAAGGTCACAACTTCATTGTTGTAACCTTTGTGAAGCTGGTCGATACAGTTGTCCTCGCAAGAACAAGATTGCACTGCATCGTGAGTTCAAACCAGAATAAAATCCCATCGGTGAGCAGATTTTTCAAGGACTTTATCTGAGGATTAAAGTGAGCTCCTTGCTCCTTAGTTACACTCCATTCTGGTACTGTGAATCCTCCTGAAAAACTTTGCCCCTAATTCTGAGACACAGGGAAACTTGTTGGACTTCAGAATTCTTCCTCTCGTGTTTAAAACAAAGACCACCTGTGGATGCTTCATTTAGGGGGGAGGGGCGTGCTAAAGGTAATAGCCATTGTGTCCAAGAATTTAGCCATTAAAATTCACAGAGATAAAACTTCTTAGTCCACTTTAAAAAAAATAAAAATAAATAAAATGCACAGGAAGGGAGGCAGGCACTGTATGTGTTAACAGGCATATACCTAAAGGGAAAAAAAACAGAAAAGGCAAAGTAGGGCAGCCCACGATGGCAATTAGGATTTTTTATTCCTGAGTGGATAATATGTGGTTTCATTTAAATAAAAACACAATCTGCATTAAACTTAATTTGTAAAAGCAAAAACGCCGACATTCTAAGCTAATGCCCTAGTAAAGCATTTTTAGACACATCATTGCAACTTCGAAATTAAAAGTGAATCAGTCCTAGGGAGTTAATTACCAGTAAATTAATCTAAAGTGGGTCTCCCACATGGCATGCAGCCAGCATAAGATGGTTCCCAGGGCAAGCCAGAAACATTGCAAGATACAGATATACACTTGAAAATCTGAGTTTCTATGCATGGCAGCGGGAGAAATCATTTGCAGAAACCACAGTGAAAAACAAGAATAAAGGCCTAATTAGAATAAGACTTTTTCGATAGAGATTTCTAAAAGTGTCCTCCAACCCTTCCCCACCCAAAGGAAAGCCCTCATCTCTCTGTTGTTGTTGCAGCCAATACATTCCTCCGTGCTTACAGAAAGGAAATTATATCTTTCTTTTTAATGCTGGCACATAAACCTTATTTAATTATATAAAGTAGAAATCATTTTAGAAACGAAAAATAAAATGGGCTAAAACCAGCAAAGTTACATTCATCGCAAATGCTTTAGAATAACGTATCCTCTGTTACAATGGTCTCAAGGAAATATGCAAGAAAGCCAGAGACAGAAGAAAAAACTCAGAAGTAATAGCTGCAGAACTTTAATTAAATATTTGAATCAAGGAAAATGGGAACAGATAAAACTATAGGGAGAGAGAAATGGCGCATGCACAAAGGGGATAGATTAATTAAAATGGTTGCTGATGACCATATTTGTTCTGGTTTGTTTTACTACAAATGTATCAAAGGTTCCTGCAATTCCCATAAATATTCAAATTCACAAACGTTCCTAATACCCGGGCTTTCACTGTCCAGGAGTGCAATAAAGCAAGCTGTTTTTGTCCCTGAATTATGCAGTTGATCGTGGCTCTTTGGGCCCAGATTTGATGTCGTTAAGCAGTCAGAATACTGACACATGATCATTAAAATCACATTCTTCCCATTTTAATTTTACACGTATAAGGTGATTTCACACAGTTTTGAATTTCAAATATTTCTAAATCAATTTAGGAAACCAAAGATGAAAATGACAAGCCTTGAATAATACATTTGAGAACAGATTCCAGTCAGATCCGTTAATTACTTACGACTGAGTTTATTAGGTCTCTTTCAACAGACACAAGATTAATGTTCAATGTCATGGTAATACATGTGAACTACATAAAATGTGGTGCTTTCTAATGTGTGACTTGACCCATCTTGACTGTTATTCATTGCATTTGCAAGATAAAGTCCCAAATAGGAATTTTCTCATAAATTGGGTCATGATAAGAACTTGAGCCAGAGGTGTCTCTGTGTTCCTTTTCAAATAATTGAAGGCCATTTCTTCTGGTGTCTGGAGGAAGTAAAACGTCTTTGTCTAATGGGTATTGCTTTAGCATACCACATGCCCAGTAAGTTCTAGCATCTAGGAGCATGCAATAGCAGCTAAGGTTAGCTATACAGTCACGGTATTAGTGTTTATATCATGTGCAATGAGATACTTTAAATGTTAAAAGAGAAAATAGGACTTAGTCTCCTTAGCAACCATTATAGCACAGATTGTTCAAAGCTGCAATCACACTCATAAGGCAAATAAATTGGTTACAAAAGGAGGGTACCCACAAGTGTGCATGCTATAGAAAATGTGAAACCTGTACCTGAAATAGATACCATCCTTATTTGCTTTCAAAATTCCAGTGCTGGCTCGGACCATCAATTTTTAAACTGTAAATTTTTCCCCTTAACTCATAATGCCAATTTTCGGTCTTGGGAATACAATAAAGTGAGTGTAAAATGGTTTTTTTTCCCTTTCACTGGCTAAGATTCTATCTCATTCAAGAATAACTTCATAAAAACCCTTTTAAGAATAAAGGACCTGTGGTCTTAATCGAAACTCACACTGGAGCGCACTGCGTAGTTCCCAGGTTAACATACAAAGACTAAATTGCTATACGGCCATCCACATGTGACTTTCTAAAATCCCCCCTAGGGATTATGTGTCCTCCCTCAGTAGTATTTCCTTTGGCTCATGCACATTCAAGGCGCTTCATGTATAAGACGATGAAGGTGGAAAAGATTATACATTATGAAAACTCTTTTTCCGAAACTGTGTTGAAATAAATTAACCGTTTTAAAATGCCAGTTTGCGAGTTCTTGAAGTCTCTGGTGTTTTGACTTTAATAAGATCTCTCTAAAACACAGAAACAAAGAGCAGAAATCAGGTGGCCGTCCGAAATGACATCGAGGGGAGGGGGCCGTGTGTAGAGAGGCCGTGGTTCAGGTATCCCCCTGGGGTCCAGGGCGAAATCTTTGCCCCGTTCGTGGGTTTCGCGGCGGGAGTCTTTGTTCGGGTAGGGGGTAGCTCAAGAGGGAAGGAGGAGATGGTGGCCAAAGACGCCGGAAGCCGGGAATCTCCGTTTCCCTCGAGCCCCGGCGGGGTTACCAGTGCTGGCCGGCGGCGCGGGTGCCCAGCTGCGCCTGAGACACGGCGGGCACGGCGGTGGCTGCGACGGCGGCGGCCGCCGCGTCGCCGACGCCCGGCAGGACGGAGCGCACCGAGCGGCGGAACTCCTCGTTCCTCCACGTGTAGAGCAGCGGGTTGAGCGCCGACAGGGCGCAGCACAGCAGCCAGCTGGCCGCCTGCACGCCCCAGGGCACCGGCAGCGAGAAGCCGCTGGCCAGGCTCACCCACACCAGCGGCTGCGTGGCCAGCAGGAAGACGCAGCAGAGCAGCAGCACCGACAGGCCGCTGAGACGCCGCTGAGCGCGCCGCGGCTGCAGCACGGGCGGCAGGGGCTGGGCCTGCTGCGCCGCGCCGCCGGGGCCCGGCGCGTGCGGGGCGCCCGGGAAGGCGGCGGCGGCGGCGGCGCAGCCGGGCAGCTGGTGCAGCAGGTGGAAGTTGAGCACGCTGACCCGCTTGACGCTGACGCGCACGCGGCGCACGATGCCCAGGTAGCAGTGCAGCAGCAGCCCCGTCTGCGCCAGCAGCGCCGCGGCCGCCAGCAGCGCCGGGTAGTGGACGCGCGGGGGCGCTGCGCCGGGCCGCGGCGCCCAGGGCGGGAGCAGCAGCACGAGGCCCAGGGCGAGCGCCCAGGACAGCGCCAGCATGCCCGCCGTGTGGCGGCGCTGGTACAGGGCCTGGTAGGTGGCGGGCGCCCGGGTGATGAGCAGGTAGCGGTTCAGGGCCACGAGGCAGTGGGACAGGAGGGACACGGTGAGCCCGAGGCCCAGCAGCCCTCCCCGCAGGAGGCGGTAGCTTCCCCCGGCGCCGTCCCACTCCCCGGGGGGCTCCGGAGAGCCGGCGGGCAGCAGCCCGAGCACCGCCTCCTGTGGCATCCAGAGGGCGCAGACGCTGAGGTCGGCGGCGCAGCCGTTCACGATGAAGGCGTTGCTGGTGGTCTGCAGCTTGCGGAAGGACGACACGAGATAGATGACCATGCCGTTGGCCAGCGTGCCGCCAATGGCCAGGCCCGAGTACAGGAGGGAAACGGGGATGCGCCGGCCCGCCCACGACTCCTCTTCCTCGCAGAGCAGCAGCAGTGACCCCCCGGTGGTGGAGGACGTGGACGCGGAGGAGGAGTTGGTCATTCTGGCCAACTCTTCACACCTCGCTCGCTAGCGTCGCCTTCTTCCAGCGCGGCCCATCCTGACACTTGCCTGCCTGCCGGGAGGGTAAAGACATCCCTTCAGCCCTCTGCCACCAACACAAAAGGCTGAAGCGGAATAATGGGCTGGGGGAGGGGGAGTAAGGGAGCTCGAGGAGAACGGGGGTGGCAGATGACAGGTACCTGCCTGAGAAATGTCTCTAGACCTAGGGAAAAGGTCTCCTTGCACTACACTGGGCAGGCATCAGGGAAGCCCTGGGACAGAGCGACACCAAGAACAGCCTCCTCATCTCCCCCCAAACACACACACACACATACACAGAGAGAGAAACATTGCCAGCTGGAGTGCCTAGTTTCCAGGAGAAAACAGAGGCATCCCAGCTGGGAAAAATGCCCAGGGAAGGGGATGGAGGGTACCTTGTGTTGGGGCTGGTCCTTAGCTGGTGTTGTAGAGAGAGGGATGCCAGGAAATACCTCCTCAGCGACAGCATCTGTGGTCCAGAAATCAACAGGAGAAACTCAGCTGGGATCGGTGCCAGGAGCAAGTGCCGGCTTCTCCCAAGCAACATCCACACGCATGGTCCTAGGAAGGAGCCAGCAGCTGCAGGGAGAAGTCTCAGCTGGCACCAGGGCTGGAGAAAGTAAAGTGGCGGGCTGCAAGCCCAGGCGGGTGGGCAGGCAGGCTGCAGCAGCAAAAATGCTTGGCTGCAAAAGCAGAAGCTGAGCTCAAGAGAAGAGCATCCTGTGCTCAAAAGCAAGAGTGGTGGCTGATGCGGTGAACCCACTCGAAGCTCTCTCCTGCTCAGTTATACATCACCCAGGGAAAAGACAGCCTTTCCACGCTTGGCATGAATTATTCAATAGCTTCTAACTTGTAAAAGGAAGAAAAATATCTTGCTCAGAATGTCCTATAGTTAACAAGTTTCTGTCTTTTCTCTCTCCTTCTCTCATTACCTTAGTTTTCATCCTGCTTCAGTTTTTTTTTTTCCTTCTTTTCTCCCTCCCTTCAATGTTAGAATAAATTTTATGTACTTCCAGTGGACTTCATCTCGGCCTGTAGCATTCTAGGAGCAAGATTTTTCTAAGATTTTTCTATACTTCCAATACCTGGCACTGATGTCTTCGCTTCAACGTTTTTAGAGATAATTATTTTACATTCTAATCGAAATTCATTTTTTTTCTTTGGTAAAGTGCGATGTGGATAATTATTCACAAAAAATCTCCAGTCCTCAACTTAAATGATAATGATTTCAGCTCTTCCTCATCACCAACCCCCTTTCCAGAGTTTGGCTTCTAGTTTTAGTAATGAAATGGTTAGAAGGTAAAAGTGAAATGGTCAGAAGTTTTTTTGTTTTGTAGGGGGTTTTTTGGCCGGGGTTTTGGGGCTGGTGCCCTACCCTTTTGAGCCACAGGCACCGCCCTATGGTCAGACGTTTTAAAGTAGGTGACAGTGGTACATCCAGACAGTGGAATATTATTCAGTGCTAGAAAGAAATGAGCTGCCAAGCCATCAAAAGACCTGGAGGAAGTTTAAATGCATATTATTAAGTGGAAGAAGCCCGTCTGAAAGGGCTACAGACTGTTTGATGCCAACCATATGACACATATGACATTCTGGAAAAGGCAAAACTATGGGGACAGTAAAAATGTCCCTGGTTGTTAGGGTTGGGGGAGGGTGGGATGAAAGAATGCTTAGGGTCGTAAAAGTATTTACTGCAGTTCTATTAACTGTTCTTTTACTGTTCATTACTCCTGTAATGGTGGATACGTGTCATTATAAATTTGTCCACACTCACAGAATGTACAACACCAAGAGTGAACTATGTACTTTGAGAAGGATGTATCACTGTACATTCAACAGTTGTAACACACGGACCCCCCTGATGGGAGATGTTGACATGGAGGAGGCTGTGCATGTGAGGGGCTGGGAGTTGTGGGAAATCTCTGCACTTCTTGCTCAAACTTGCTGAGAACCTAAAATTGCTCTAAAATACGAAGTCTGTTAAGAAAAAACAGGTGATGGAGGAAAGCAAGGAGCCAGAATAATCCACACCGGTGAACAATAAAGATGGCTTCTGACTTCAGAACTTTTTATCTTATGGTCTGCCCTACAGATTTACAATCTGATGCTGGAATCTTCTCTGGTCCCACTTCCATGTGGGAAATTTTTCACAAAAGACATCCTCTCTAATAATTTTTCACTAGGAAAATCATGTATTTGAAAATGTACCTGAGGGAGGAGGGAGGGGGGCCGGGGTGCTCCCACCTGATGAACACAAAGGAAGGGTATACAGCACACCTACTGGGAGTAGGGCACAACTAGGACAGGGACCTCACCTAACAAACACAAACATTGTAACCTAATCGTTGGTACCCTCATATTAATCCGAAATTTTAAAAAAATGTTAACATGGTCTACGGTGACATGATATAGTGGAAAAAATGCCAGGTGGGGTTGCAGGACAGATGGGTTCTCAGCCAGTTGTCCCTCAACTGGCCTTGTAATGGATTATTCTCATGATGTCGAATAAGGAGTTTCCATTCAATGACTTCAAATCCCTTTCTGTAACTTTCTGTGAATCCCTATTCATGGATCTAGCATTTCTTCTCCCTAGTTTTGACACCAGATGTATACCCCTTCTACCTAACCTGTAATGTAGTCCTGGGTCATATGGCAGGAGTCTTTTCCAGTTTGTCCCTGGGAGTAATGTCTCAGGATCAAGGTCATAATGCACCTGCTTGGCTTTTCTCTTTCTCTTTCCAAACCAATATGATTAGTTAATGACCATTAAGAACTCTGATGAGGGTAAGACAAGAGCATGACTGATGTATTTAGTCCAGTTGGGCTATACGTAAATGAAACTGGCTGGGGGTAGGAGGGCATTGTCAGAGAAAACCAGTGACAGTCAGAGGACAGAAGGTGTAGGTATCAAGTTTATTGATGTGAAGGAGCTTTTGCCGTCATCTTTTTGCTCATTGGTCATTTGTCTTCATTGAGGTTTTGAGTGCATTAAGTGTAGCAAGACTACCAGGGATTCTTCTAGTCATTTGTAGTTAAAACTTTGCATTGAAGTAGTTTTTTCTCTGACATTAACTTAGTCCTAAAGGACTCTCTGATAGGTGTCTCAAGAGGGTGTACAAATTCCAGATCCTTGGTCCCAGCTGATGCTCCCCCTGTTCCCTGTGAGAATCAGCAGAGTCCCTACTGAGGAACTGTAGGCCGGGAAGTCACACATACTTCTGCCAAGACTGTGTCTCCTGTAGCCCTAGCCTGATAAGGGTCAAATTATTGTTTGGTTCTGGATTTGTTTTTGTTTTTGTTTTAAGTCATTGAACTTAGATAATATAAGGGGGAAATTTTTTCTCTCTTATTCCCAGCAGCAAAACAGTGCCCAGCACACAGTAAGATACTTAATATAAATACTTAATGGATTAATGTAAGGATGGTAGTGTGAGTGATTTCATTTATTTTTTCCCCCATAGTAAAACAGTTAAGTGGTTTTAAGAGCATCCCTTTCCCCTACCTCCAATGGGAACTTGCTCTACCACTCACCTCCTTTCTGATACACCTTTAGTCTCTCTCCTTTCCTCTGGTTGCTCCCATCTGGCCTTAGGAAAATGTTGATCTGACCACAACCTAATAAAACTTTCCCGGAACTTCACCTCCTTGTTGGGATGCATACACACAGCTCACTTCCGCTTCCTGGTGGAAGTGCTTATTTTCTGCTTCCACTTCCTGTTCTCCCTTTGAATGCTCCCCCCACACACTGCCTTCAGCCCTCCCCAATCTACAGATACAGCTTTGGCTAAGGTCAGCAGCAGCCTCTAAGGAGCAAACCAGAGAGTCCTAAGTCCTTGCCCTCTTTACTTTGACTCTGACAAGAATGCACTCCTCCTCAGAGCTCTGTCCCCCTAGGTTTCTCTGTACTTCTGTTGCCCTCTGTCTGCTCCCCCCAGACTCACCTCTGGCTCCCAGGGTCACTGGTCCCTTAACATGGTGTTCCTCAGTGCTCCATTCTTGGTTCTCTTCTCACCCTACTTTCTCTCCCTAATTGATCTCATCCAATTCTCTGCCTTCTGCTCTTGCCTCTGGGCCACCCACAAATTCCTTCCTACCACTCTTATTTCTTTCCAGCACTATAGACTTTGTAGAACTCTCCACCAGGCTGGACTCTCTCCCCTGTCATCCTGCTGTTTCTCCTGGGATCACGGCTTTTGTTAATCGTCCTCCTCAAGTTACCCTAGTGTTTCTAATAATCATTAAATATGATTATTGTAGTTTTCTGACATTCTGTCCATCAGTTAGGGACATTTCTATCTATTTCTAGTAATAGTTTTTATATGAGATGAATGATTTTTTTTCCCCTTTAACTGCTAATATGGCAGGTTACATTTGGTATATTTTTAAAAGTTGAGTCATCTTTGTATTCCTGTGATAAACTCTATTTGGTCACGATATATATTTTTTTAAATAGACTGCAGGCAGGATTCTGTTTGCTAGTGTTTTATTTAAGATCTAGCATCATAAGTAAAATTGAGCGTATTTTTTTGTGTCATCTTGTTCTTTGTTAGTTTCAAGGCTATGACAAAATTTCCCTCAGGAGAATCAAGAACACCAGCATTGCTGATGTCATTGAGTATATACTGTACGTACAAAGCCTTGTTTTGAGTATTTTTTTTTTTATTTTGGAGACAGAGTCTTACTTACTATGTTGCCCTTGGTAGAGTGCCGTGGCATCACAGCTCACAGCAACCTCAAAGTCTTGGGCTTAAGTGATTCTCTTGCCTCAGCCTCCCATGTAGCTGGGACTACAGATGCACAACACAATGCCTGGCTATTTTTTTGTTGTTATTATTATTACTGTTATTTAGCAGGCCCTGGCTGAGTTTGAACCCACCAGCCCTGGTGCATGTGGCTGGCACCCTAACTACTGAGCTATGGGCGCTGAGCCATTGTTTTGAGTATTTTTCATCTGTTGTTTCATTTAAACCTCATGCCAGGCCTACAGGTTACCTGGTTCCACCCCTAACTTTATAGGCCACAGCAGGGGTTCAAGTGGAAATTTACATGCTATTGTCTAAATATCTTTAAATCATTAATAAAGCTATTGAACTGTTAAATTATGTTTTATTCTCCCAACTCTACAAACATATTTTATGACAACTGGAAAGCCAGGCTTAAATTTGGAATTCTCAGACCCATATCCATGCTCCTGGGATACCACAACCTGGAGAGTGTGCATCTGGCCTGCAGTCCACCTCTATTTTCCCCCACCCTCTGCTCCACCATCACATGCCAGCAAAGTCCCATGTTTAATGTAGTACACTCCAACATGTCCATCCAGGTGCCATTCACACCCCTGTCACACAACCACCCTTTGGCAAAATCTCAGACCGGGGGCCAGAGTCAGCCATCAGGAATAAGCCCCCCTGAAAAAAGCTCGAGCAGACCTTAATAGCATGGCCAATGGGTGAGGATTTCTAGGGGCCTGGTACTGGATATAGTCCAGAAAGGTAATAAGCTCTAGGTGACCTTATTCCCCTGAATCCATTTAACAGATGAGAAAAATGAACCACAAAGAAGTTAAATAACTTGTCCAAGATCACACAACCAGGAAGGGGTAGAACTGGGATTCAAACACATGTTATTTGGCCCATACACAAACACTACACTATGCAACCTCCCTTGGTAAAGTTCAGCTTCCTTTGGCTGCTTCCTTTAGGCTTAGCTGCTATAGATTAATC